AATGTTGGTACTATGTTGTAGCAGTATTACGGATGTTTTGTCAAATCACACAGATCCACCAGACTGCAAAATTGATAATTCGATGCAACACTGGCGTGACTTTCAGAAGGTTCTGTAGAAGCTAACACTCCATATCTGTCTGGCAATACTGCAAAAATATGGAGCCTTCTACGAAAGCTCTGGAGTGCCAATGGGAAAAAAAAAATAGAATGTCGAAATTTCGACTCAGGAAGTCGAAATTTCGTCCTATCAACTCGGAATTTCGTCTTACTGAGTCGAAACTTCGTATCAGTAAGTCGAAATTTCGACTTAACATCTCGAAATTTCGACATAGTTAACTTGAAATTTCTTAGTTTTTCTACACAGATCTCTATCATTCAGGGTATCCCAAAATTAGCCTGCCAAATCTTAACCGGCAGCTTCTTTGATCAAAAATAGGAAGAAAAGTTTCAATGAACATGAGTCGAGGAATGTCTCCTAAGGGAGCATAATTATGGCCCCCTGAAAGGGAGCTCCTGAAGATGATATTTCTTGAATATTTCCGAAACGCCACGTGATAAAATGATGCAATTTGGTACAAGAACTAAACTTTCCATGCCCAATGCGTTGAACATAAAATCATTTCATTCAGGAGTGTAAAATACAAGGTATTGCTCAAACTTTTTCGTGTGCATATTTTTTGACAACTTAGTCTCGTATCATAAAAATCCACAACATGTCACAAAAATAGGTGCTCTTGTTCCGCATTGAGCAGATGTATCATTTCCGAGTGAAATCGATTTAAAAATATTGATGCATTCACATCTTATGCATAACGTTGTCAATTTTCAAATCATAGTGCCTATAAAAAATCAAGTACTTTTTTTTTACCAAACAATCTCAAGAAAGTGCAAAAAATAGGAAAATGATGAAAAAACTACTTCATTTTTCGCGATTTTTTTTTCATTTCCACTATGCCTCATTGCAATGGTGTGCATAATATCTGAGATGTAACAATATTCTTAAATTGCTTTAACTCGATAACAATACATATACATCATCTGATCGTCACGGGACAAGAGTACCTTTTTTCTGTAAAGAGGTGTGAAATTTCATAATCCGAGATTGAATTGTCGAAAAATATGCAAACAAAAAATTTGGAGCAATATTTCCACCCTGTATTATACACTCCTGAATGAAATTTTGAAATGATTTTATTTACACCGCATTGGGCATAAAAATTTCAGTTCTTGTATCAAAGGGCATTTTTTATCACATGAAGTTTCGGAAATACTCAAGAAATATCATATCTTCAAGGGCCCCCTTTCGGGGGGCCATAGCTCCCTTAGGACGCATTTCTCGTCCCATGTTCATTGACAGTTTTCTCTCTATTTTTGGTAGTAAAAGCCGCTAGTGAAGTTTGGCAGGCTAATTTCGGGACACTCTGTATATGAGTGTAAAGATTCTGAAAATGAGGACATATTTTCAACTCGCTCTGAATAATGAAGAGATAGTGAGCACTCAGAATACCATTCTGTGGCTGTGAACTTGGACGAAATTTCCATATTTCGTCTTACATAAGACGAAATTTGGAAATAGTAAGACAAAATTTCGACATGGTGAGACGAAATTTCGACTTAGTGAGTCGAAAATTCGACTTAATGAGACGAAATTTTGAGTTACTAAAACGAAATTTCGACTTCCCGAGTCGAAATTTCGACTTTTTATTTTTTTCCACTGGCACTCCTGAGCTTTCGTACACTTCTTCAGAAAATGATGAAAACATTGCACAAAATCAATTCTTATTTGTTTTGGTCTTTTATATTATCCCCTTCAAATAACATCTAACATTCATGAATTATTATCTACAGAACGTCACTGCCGTTCCCCCTATCGAGCGGAGGTATAACCACTACTCTTTACTAATCATTGTCATAACAGGCAACTGCTACATGCCCACCGCGCCAACAGGTTTCTATTGAGTAGGATTTACAGATACGCAGCAAAGTTCATGCACGACAAATAGGTGGAGTGAACATCGCATCGCGTAACACCTTACATTGAGCAGCGTTGGGTTTGCTATTACAATTATTGTACTAGATCTATTACTATCACACCTTGCTCAGTACGCTATCACAACAGATGAAACCTCCGTAGTCGAGTACATTCTTCGATTTCATTTATAATAGTGTAATTTAAAATATCATGTTAACAAGAATATAAGATGACCAATGCGTCTGAGCATTTATTTACAATGCTCATATCAAACTTTCGATGGAATTGGCATTTTTATACTTGCTCACTGTATAGGTGAGAATTAATTATTTCTGTTATTAATGTATTTATTTTGTTGTATTTCACATTTACATTATTGACTGGGTTATACATTTTGTTCCATTTTCCGTTATAGTTGTTATTATTATAAATTGTTTCATTCAGAGTTATTAATTCTATTCCATTTTCCGTTATAGTAGATATTATTAAATTGTTTATATTTTTGTTTCATCTCTAGAAACGTACAAATGAGTTTCCTATAATGCTCGAAAAACATAATATCGCTACCTGGAGAAGTTAGGAAGAGGAGTGAGGTGTTGTAATTTTCTTCAACTGGATTCCTACCTATGAGCTTCCTGGGTAGATTGTCATATCAACCGACTTTTTGTGTTACAAAATAAAATCACTAATGAAATTCTCTGATTATCAATGACCTTGTAGAAAAAATACCTATCAATAATTACATATGGAATATTCTCAACTTAAGAGCATTTGCGAGAAACGAATAGCTATAATAGCTATCTTTTTATTCATTTTATAAGGTTCAACTCATTTTTTTCCCCTTTTTTTTATATATTATAATTCGTTTTTTTTTTTCGCCCTTGTCATAGTTACTAAGATTTCTCATTATATTTTGTATCCAAAGAATTTTTGGTATCCAAACTGTATTTTTTTTGTTTGTTTTCAATTAAGGCTTAAATCACGTACATTAAAATATTTCTGCAAATTGTAAATGTACCCGAATTCTTGCTATAGAACTGTAATGTTTCTGAAAGCAATAAAGTATCTATCTATCTATCTATCTATCTATCTATCTATCTATCTATACCTATCAATATCATTTCAAATAATCTGTATATGATGTCGGGAGTATTGATAGGTACTTTCGCATTTAGTTCATTGTATCTATTTGTTTATAATAATCATCATCATATTCAACAATGATTGAGAATGAAATAAATACTTTATGATACACGAAGTCATCTCCACGACATATAATGTGATTAACACATCAGAATTGGTTGATGGTACATGTTTCAGACATTCAATGTCCATTATCAGCCTTATGAGAAATTACATAAAAAGTGTCCTAAAATCATAATGGTTATGATTACAAACGACTATAAAGAAGGTTATGTGACCAAATTCAACATTTCAAAAAAAATTTTTGTTCTGTTTGGGTTTTGAGAAAATATTATATGATGAAACCCAATAAACCCCCAGGAATTATCATACAATGTTTTATGTTTTTCGCAATGGCCATCAAAGGGCACATATGGATGCGACATCAGGATTGGAAACGTGTCCATCTTACCCTGCACTAGCACACGGCGGACATCACCTGATCAGGCTGGAAAGATCCACGGCATATGTCACACGTCACAAGTCAATAAAAAAGACAAGTGGCACGAGACAACACGGCGGTGACCATCCACCCAGCGGTGACATACCATCGGTGTACTGGTAAAAAGAAAGAAGAAGAAGTTTGCAGATTATGCTATGAGGTCATGTTGAAACTTAAAAATTCAATGGAAAAATCGAAGACCATCGCAGGGGAGAACTGAAAAATTTGTTTTTATGATCATTTTATTTTGTCGGGGGTTTGTTGGGTTTGCTGGGTTTCCCCATATAATATTTTCTTAAAACCCAAACAAAAGAAAATAAATTTTTTGAAATGTTAAATTTGGTCACATAACCTTTTTTAATCCCCATGTAAGCACTCCTTCTCATAACTAGTCGTTCGTATTGATAGGTAACCATTATGATTTTAGGACACTATTTATGTAATCTCTCATGAGGCTGATGATAATAATAATAATAATATTTTTCAATCGGTTTTGAATCAAGTACAATAGATTAACCGTGTTTACTAATATCATACGTATTATAGTCTGACACAAACGAACAGAAAAAGAGAAACCACAAAGCTTTCGCTGTCCGTGGTGAACTCACATTCATTATTGAGTGAGAGATTATAGTATATATAAGAAATAGTGAACAGAAAATAGTATATGATTAATAGGATGAAATATAATATAATATAATAGAGAAGATAATTTATGTAGCTAATAATCATCATTATAAAAAAGCACACGAACATATAATTGATTAGGAATAGTACGACTAGAAATTTTTTTTTTATGGATTTAGGGTCAATGGAAAAATGTATGTATAAATGTCCACTGATTGCTCAGTAAAAATAACTTCACTTATTTTTACAATGAGTTTCAGAATAACAGTTGTGGAATGGAGAAGTTTCTGAGATAGAATTCAAAAATCGGGGTCCTAGAAACGTCAAACATTTGGTACCGACTGTTTTATTTGCTGAAGGGGTTTTCACTTTATTAGCATATTTAGCTCTTGTTGAGTAATTGTGAGAGATAGTGTCGATATCCTTCTTATTTTTGAAAAGGAAACATACAGCTTTGAGGAAAAATGTTTGGCGGATATCTAGTATCCCCGCTTCCTTGTATAGGTTATCTGAAGGGTAATTTCTATCTTTTTGAAATATAATCAGTGGCAACGGTGCGCTAAATCGGTTAGTGTGTTTATTTATTCGCCTGCATCTAACCCGAAAAAACGAGCGGAGCGATGGAGAGAATAGAGGAAATGTTCGCGAATGTAACAGGTCAACTTTCATTAATGAACAATAAACTCGAACAGATTGTCCACGATAATGAAAACCTCGAAGAAGAAAACAGAAAGCTCAAAGCACAAATCAATATACAAGAAAACAGAATTAAAATATGGACAGAGAACTGCGGAGAAAAAATCTGATAATAAAAGGAGTAAAAGATGAAGAAAGCGGAAATCGAGAAGAGACGAAAGAAGATAAAAGGAAAGTAATGGGAAAGATTAGAGTTAACGTGAATATGGAAACAGAAGTTGATGAAATGAGAAGACTAGGGAGATACGAGGGCAGAAAGCAGAGACCGATATTGATCAAGCTGATAACAGGAAATAAGAAGATGCAAATACTCCAGCAATCCAGGGAACTGAAGGGAAGTAATATATGAATTGAAAAGGACTACATCAAATAAACGCAAGAAGATAGAAAAATACTGATTCCACATTTAAAAAATGCGAGAAGAAAGGGACACAAAGCACAACTAAGACATCTTAAATTAGTAATCGATGATAAGACATACAATGCCGAAGATATGAAAAATATCAGTGAAGGAGACGAGGGACAGATGGAAACAAATAGAAGCAAAAGAACCACCAGCGAAAGGTCCCCAAATGGAAGTGATGGAAAAGAAAATAGCAAAAAGAGCACACGGGTGCTGACAAAAAACTAATAATGATAAATAAGAAACGAACATACAATGATGACTACGGCAATGAAAACGTTAATGATTCAGGAAAAGAGAAGAGCCAGATGAATAGAGGAGATGTTGAAAACATTAGGAAAATAAAAAACAAGTAGAATATTTGTAAGCTAGGGACATGGAACATAAGATGCCTGAATGGTAAAGAAATAGAGTTGATAAACGAATTTGAGAAAGCCGAACTAGAAATACTAGTAATACCAGAAACAAAAAAGAAAGGGAACGGAACAATGGGAATAGAAAACGAACACCTATTAATATGGAGCGGGATAGAAGAAAATAAGAGAGCACAAGCGGGTATAGGATGCATATTACATAAAAGCATCAAAGTAAACTTGTGCAATTGGAATGCAATATCCGAAAGGATCTTAACAGTAGAATTAAATTATGTGAAGGATATCAAAACAATAATAGCAGTGTACGGACCCTCTGAAGATGAGAAAAGTGAAATTGAAGAAAGATTCTGGGAAGATCTGGATATCACTGTCAAAACGGCAAAAGGAAGCATATTTATAGCAGGATATATGAATGGCAGAGTAGGAAAATCAAATCATACATATTCAGTTATAGAAGAGTATGTAGTGTTGGTGGTCGTTTCAATTGTTTTCCAGAGTTTCTGTGCATTGTTTTTATTCTGTTCAATTTGTCTTCACATGGTATTTGATTTTTGTGTCAGTATCGCATTTTGTTTATCCTTTTGCCTTTGTCTGTATAGTTTGTCTCGTTTTTTAATTAAATTAGCCCTATTGTAATCCATTCTTTTTTTTTAATGTTTTTCCTTTTTTGGAAATAATAGTACTTTTTTTCATTAGGCGATCCAGTGTTGTAATAAAATATGTTGTAGCTACCTGTGTGTCTCTGATGTTGTATAACAAGTCCCAGTTGAAATGAGTTAGGTCATTTCTCAATTTTTGGTAATTAAACTTTTTCACGACGTTGTCCCTAAAGTCCGGGTCACTGTCTTCAAATATATTCGTGTTCAATATTGTAGTTCTATGATCAGTCACGAGGGAATCCAAAACGAAGCTTGAAAAGTTATCACTTACTTACCCTTTTTTTGATCTCACAAATATATGGTCTAAGCAGGTTTTGGAGACTCCTTGAATTCTGGTGTAGGCATTGATAGTTGAGACAAAATTGAACATGCTCATTATGTCTAGATATTCAGATACAACTGTATTATCTTCAGAAAGTATGTCGATATTTAAATCGTTAACAATTATATGTACGTCACTATTCCCAATATCATTTTTACAAAAGTATTCGTATAGGCCGGTTACAAATTCTTGATCATTGGTTGATGGTGATCTATATAATGCAGTAATTTTCATTAACATTTGTTCTTTTTTGAATAAGATCTCGATTGCTTCACATTCTGCGATAGCTATAATTTTGTAAGTATTATTGATTGTGTTCCTAAAATAAACAATAGTTCCATCACATTTATTGATATCGCCAAAGTAATATATTATATCATAGCCCTCTCTTTGCATCAAGTCCTTGTCAAAACCATTACGTGTTTCTGTTAGAATCAGGCATTCAAAAAAGTGATCAAACTGACTCAAAGTGACTTCAAAGTTATCCAGATTTTTTGAAATGCTACTGATATTTTGATGAATCAACTCAAACTTACAATCATTTCTTTCAATCAATTGGTTATATTCAGAGACATCTCTCAGCAATTTTGAAGGAAATTCGCAGTAGTTGTAATCTCTGATGAATGGATCCATTATTGAACTTATGATATGAAGAAAAATGAAGACTCCAAAACTTTATCGGAAGCGGTAGTTATTTCGACAGTGAATTATGTCTTGTGTTTGGCTGATCACTCGTGTTTTCTTTTACCGGTTTGCTTGTTGTACCTGCTTTCGAGGTGTTCCGAGTTTCCTGTGGAATTTTCGTAGATTTTTAATTTTTTTTCGTGGAATTTTTATGTTCTGGGCGCTCCTGCCCCTCCTCCTTCTTTCTGAGATTAATTGTTTTTGTGAATTCACTGGTGTACCTGGATCACTGCTTGCTCTACTATTTTCGGGTAAAAATTGGGTTTCTTCGAGATCGGCGATAGTGTAAACTTTGTTATCAACAAACAGCTTGTTGTTTTTTATGTAGCAATTTTTTTCGTTGTTCTGTCTAGCAAGAAACAGATGTTTTCTCAGGATCTTTCCCTCCTCTCTTTGTTTAATTGTCAAGTCGTTCGCGATCTGAATTTGGGTTCCTTTTAATTTACTGGCGTTCTTCAAAACTATTAGCTTCTTGAAAGAGGACGTAAATTCAATTTTTAGTGGGCTCTTCTGAGTTTTTCCTAAGCAAAATACGTTATTGAGATCTGATTCCACTAGATGAATATAATAATAATAATAATAATAATGTTTATTGAAGTAATACCCAATATGTATAACAAATTCATGGCGAAATAATATATTATGGTCTTGCTACTCCAAAAGGACAGAATATTGGCAAAGCCATTTTTCAATTCTGCCTGAATAATTACAATAGAACATAACATAATGAATGAATATAAAGAAAAACGATATATACAATACATACATCATAATATACAGAAAAATATACAGAAAAATTGACTGAATGAATTGAATAAACTATAAAAAATAATGAACACCGTGATCTAAGTGAGAATAGATCACTCGGCACTAATGATATGTCCTCAATAAATATAAATATACCTACTAGGTGAAAGCTGCGCTCAGATTCTTACGATACTCTGTTTTAAATTTATTTAACGAGTCCAGCATGAAATATTCTTTGTGTGTGTTGTACATGAATGGAGCAATATATGAATAACATTTCTGAAATTTGGATGTTTTGTGCCTTGGAACTATCATATTATCAGTATTCCTTAGATATAAATATATATATATATATATATATGTCGTTGGTAGACATGTACATACTAACTCGATATCGACCTCCATTGGGGTCCTTCAGCTTCATCATTGAATATTTCGAAAAGAAATAATTTTCTGATCAATTTATCGTACCCATTTGCCTACTCGAGGAGACGCTATGCACTCTCATAAGAAAATTATAGAGACAGAGAAAGATATATGGATGTACTCTTCCCAAGACTTGTGGAGGAAGGAAGATGCGAGGATCCTTTATCCAAGCGAAAAACATATTCTCGTCCTTGTCTGGCAAAACATATGATTAGCTTCAAAATCGTTTGTGTTTATGTTTGATTTCACTGCTTGTCTAGTGTTCGTACTCTGATATACAAAAAACGTCAAGTGTGTGTCAAGTACATTTAGAAACTTCAGTATCAATTAGATAATGAAAGTGTCGACACAAGAACGACAACTGTAAAGCTGTGTCAAGTCATTCGTCCGACCATAGTGGTGATAACAGAATGGTCAATGGATGACTAATGTGTTATAACTTTGTGGGCAGGTTTGAAACGTGACCTATATTCCCAGACAGCTAGTTAGTCATACTGATGGTCAGACTCAATATACAGAACGTATATGTGCCCGGTCAAACCACAGACTTGACATAGCTTTAGTGTTTCTGAATGTTTAGTTTCACTAAGTTACACATCTTACATTGTGACAAGAGCACCATAGTCGTTCTGTGTTTTTTAATTCAAAATTGTTTGAATTTGATGATGAGTTTTATGAATGTTAGAAGTGAAATCTAGTTTTGTGAACTATCGAGGAAAAAGCATGAATTGAAATGTCCTGCTGTGTGATAAATTGAGGAAATTCTGAAAAAGAATAGATTTCGACTCTTCAATTTTCCAAAGGAAATATCAACGATTTCCTTATAGGATGAATGTATCAGACGGTCTGGTTGAAAGATTTATTCGAAAACGAGCAAAATTCGTGGAGTGAATGCATTAAAATTTATTTTCATAACAGCATTATTTGAACGAAATCATATTCTAGGCTTATTTTCAAACAGAAGATTTCGAGAACGGAACTGAGGAAATCAAGTAAATTGCAACGTGATATATTATTGAATGATGTTTTCAATACCAACCAGATTCAAAATGTATCAGCAGAAGGTATAAAATCAAAACAATTTTTATGTTGAAGTTTATCACTAGGGTATAGGTTTACTCACGATAAGGAACTTTGGTTATGAGTATTATATCCAAATGTGTCTATTTTGTCATATTGAAATGCTGTTACATGCCTTTTTGCCATGTTTATAACTGTTGCTCTGCGAGAAATATATCGCAATGATTTGAACTGGGTGTTCACACCCTATTTCTATTTTCCATCTACGGCTATGAATGATTTCACAGAAAAATTAACCTCTGGAATCGTATCTGACAATCAGGTGCTACTAAGACAAAGAGTAAAATATATGTATCATTCTTCTATTCACTCAAATCACTGTGATATGGGAAATAGAAAAGGACATAAATTCAACTGTGTCCAAACTCTAATCTGATAAATATCATTCAGTGACTCTAACTTCAATAAGATAGCAAAAACAATAACAGAAAGTAGTAAATAGACTCACTTGGAGTAATGAATGATCAATCAATTTGCGATCGTAAAAATTATATTTCACAGGCTTCAATATTCTATTGTGGCAACGCCCAAATTACGTTTATTTTGATTTTTGATCAGGCAACATGAGCATGTGGATTGTGGACATGATGATAGATCAGTAGTACCTATGATGCATATTCGTATATTATATAGTAGAGAATACGAAGTAGCTTT